TAAAAAGTTTAGGCTCAAACTGGCATGAATCTGAAATGGGAAGACCCATCCTTGAAGCATGTGCTTCATGAAAACATATTTCAGCTTAATTTTTCTTATAAACTTGTTTTCAGACTAATTTGGCTTTCCTTATTGACATTAATATCTACTATTGAAAAATCAGGGATTTTTGGTGACTTAGTGGTAAGGATGGCATCATCATTTCAAAGGTCTGTGGTTCAAATATACCAGCTGCTCTGTGGGAGAAAGATGAGCATTTTCTCCTATTCAGTTTGCTGCCTTGAAACCCACTGGAGGATCTGCTATGAGTTGATTTTGACTTAATTGTACATAACAGCATTTAAAAAAAATTGTTGTTGTTGTTGTTAGGTGCCATCAAGTTGCCTACAACTCATAGCGACCCTATGTATTACAGCCCTAAAACCTGCTCTATCCTGTGTCAGTCTTATTGTCTCTGACAGACCTAATGGGGGTCACTGAATTCATCCATCTCATTGAGGGTCTTTTCTCTCCTGTGCTATCCCTCCACCCTCCCAAGCATGACATCCCCTTCCAGGGATTGGTACCTCCTTACAACCTGCCCAAAGTATGTCAGACGAAGCTCCAAGGAGCAGCCTGGTTTAACCCTCTCCTGGATAAACCTGCATTGTGTTATGGTTGATGACACTTAGCCATTTTGTCCTGCCTCAAATTCATTATTTGGACCTAAACTGAACAGACATGTGGCAGGCCTTTGCCTTTCACCCTTTGTGGCTGCTCTGTTCTGTCTTTTGTCCGTAGCTCTGGTTGTGTTTTGGATTTCATGTCAGACTGCCCCAGAAAGATTGGTGGCTCGAACCCAACCAGCTCCTTACAGGGAGAAAATTATTCAGTGGTTTCCTCCTATAGAGATATGCAGAGCTTCAGAAACATGAAGGAGAGTTGCTGTGAGTTGGACTGAACTTGACAGTGGTGTGTTTATGGGCTTTTTGCCTATTTTCCCACCTGATGTCATCTTCCCTAAACCCATCTCCCCTTTCTTTTTCTTTTTCCAGATTAGAGTAATAATTATTAAATTATCTTACATTTCTTTGGGCTTTACAGCTTAGTATACTGTTGTTATGTGCCGTCGAGTTGCCTGCAGCTCATAGTGACCCTATGTACAATAGCCCTAAACCCTGCGCCATCCTCTGCCAATCTTACTGTCTCCGACACACCTACCTCCATTACCTCAATCACTGAATCAGTCCACCTCATAGTGTTTTCCTCTCCTGTTCTGTCCCTCCACCCTTCAAGCATGATATACTTCTCCAAGGACTGATGCTTCCTTGCAACATGTCCAAATCATGTCAGAGCTTCAGAGTCCTTGCCTCCAAGGAGCAGCCTTCTTTAACCCTCTCCTGGATGAACCTGTTTGTTTTCTTAGCAGTCTGTGGTATATTCAATACTCTTCTCCAACACCACAGATCAAAGGCATCAATTCTCCTTCTATCCTCCCTAGTCACTATCCAACTCTCTGATGCATAGCAAGTGATTGCAAAGACCATGGCCTAGATCAAGTGCACCTTAGTCTCCAGAGTGACACTATTGCTCTTCAGTACTTTGGAGAGGTGTCTGATGGCAGACTTGCCCAACACAATACATCTTTTAATTTCCTGTCTGCTGGTGCCAAGAATGTTGACTGTGGAGCCAAGCAAACTAAAGCTGTTAACAATCTCAGTCTCTTCACCATCCATCCTGATGCTGCTGGTAAGAATCTTTGTCTTCTTCATATTGAGCCTCAATCTATATTGAAGTCTGCAGTCCTTGACCTTCTGCAGCAAGTGCTTCAGGTTCTCCTCAGTTTTAGCAAGCAGGGTTGTGTCATCTGCATAACGCAGATTGTTGATGAATCTTCCACCAATCCTGATGCCACACTTCTCATAAAGGCCAGCCCCCAAATAATCTGTTCTGTATATAGGTTGAAAAGGTATGGGGATAGGACTCATCCCTGGTGTACACCCTTCCCAATTTTGAATCATGCAGTGTTTTCTTTTTCTGTTCTGACGACTGCCTCCTGGTCCAAGTATAGGTTTCACATTAGCATGATTCCCATTCTTCTTAGACTATTCCGGAGATTAGTATACTGAAAATTATTTAATTTTTTCCCCTGGGTTATTTGCATTCTAAAAGAGAAGCTAAGCACAGGTAGTAGTGGGTGATGGGCTTTGGCAAAAGGCCTTGCTTTACTTTCTTATTTGTCTTTCAGTTAAACAATATCTGATCCAAAGTCAAATGATTTTAATCTCTAGAAAATCTTATTTCTGCCACAAATTTGGGTAGAGAAGTACAAGAAATTGTGATCATGGTCTGTAGAGTACAACAAGGGTTATAAAAATTAGAAATCTAATTAACAGAACAAATCTCTTTTGGTTTTCATTCTATCATTCATGTACATTTTATAACATTAATTGCATTAGATTAATTTCATTAATTGCTATATCTGATCAATATAGAATATATTGTCTTTCCTTTCACTCATCTTAATCTGCTTATTAATTTTTATTTCATTTTTTGGTTTCTCCAAGAACTGTCTTTAAATTCAGGATGATGCTCTTACTATAACATATATCTACCCTTCCCCCTGAAATTGCTACACATAGAATTACCAGAATCTTCCCATATGTTCTCCTTGATATATAACATTATAATATGCCAAAATTCCAGATGTCACCAGGGTTTCTCAAGCATAGAAATCCCATATTAATTTCTCCTATTGTCTTGTCTGTGGCTTTTCCCCTATGTTTTAGGATAGCATGGGAGTGTATTCAGAGTTTATATTTACCTGAGTTTAATTTTATTTATTAGGATATGACCACTTTTAAAACTCGTTGCTTTGGTATTTAGTTGTTTCTTGGAAAATTCCTAGACTACCCTTAGTAAACTGAACAAAATCAGTGATTTTGGAAACATGGTTGCCTAGTGTGTTTTAGGGCACTCTGATGGCTTAGTGGTAAGAAGCTACACTGCCAGCTGAAAGGCATGCATTTCTAATCTGCCAGCTGCTCAATGAGAAAGAGATGGACAGTTTTCTTTTGGATAGTTTTTGCCTCTGAAAATCTGGTGAAGGATCAGCTATGGGCTTGTTCCACCTCACTGGTAGATAAAAATACCAGCCTCATTCTTGTTTCTAATGAAGTGAGTTCACAGTTTAGCAACAATAGCCTGAGACTAGCATTTCCTGAACTATTCCAGTGAGCATGTATCCTTTGAGGGAAAAAAACCCATGTTCTACAGATAAATACATTTGGAAAATATTTGGATGAACAAAGTTGAACATATTTGTTTACTACAGAATGTTAATGTGCATTAAGGGTTTTGGAGAGGTGAATGCATTATTCCCAGTTATGCCATGTTCCCAAAACTTGTGAGCCTAAAACTTCTTCCTTCCCCACTGCTATTCTATTTTAGAATATTTTAGTTCTATTTTAGAACTGGAATCTTGTGGAATATGAACTTTAGGAAAGCCTAGTCTAGGATGTGCTCACCAGGTTATGCCAAGAAATCTGGAGGACATTTACCTGGCCAGCTGACTGGAAGAGAACTGTATTTGTTCCCATTCCAAAAAAAAATAAGGTGACCCAACAGAGTGTGGAAATTATCAAATAATATCACTAATATCACATGCAATCAAGATTCTGCTCAAAAGCACTCCTCAGGAATAGAAGAACGGTAGGAGGTATCTCACTCCCTGATTTCAAATCCTACTACACTGCCGTAGTGGTAAAGACAGCATGATACTGGTACAATGACAGACACATAGATCAATGGAATCGAGTTGAGAATCCAGAGATCAACCCATCTATCTATGGTCAACTGATTTTTGACAAGGA